ATTATTTCACCCGTAATAATAATATTAATAATAATAGTAATAATACTCCACCAATAATAATATTTAATAATAATAATAATAATCATAATAATATTCTCCCACTAATAGTTATAATAATAGTAATAATATTACTAATAATAATATTCTCCAATATTAATAATATTACTACAATTAATAATAATAATAGTAATAATAATAATAATAATAATAATAATAATAATAATAATAATAATAATAATAATAATAATAATAATAATAATACCACCATATTACTACTATTTATTTTATTATTATATTCACACCAATTCACCACCAATAATCCTCCCATATCAGGGACACCCACCAATCATCATCAAACACACTCCCACCAAAGGGCACACCAACATATAATAATTAAAATAGTAATAAAATAACTAAATAATTAAAATGGGTGTTACAGACATCATTCCACAAGGAAGATGGAGAGTATAGTGGGTGTTATCCCAAAAATAAAAAGAATAGAGAAGCATGTTCGAGCAATAGTCAGGACCTACTTTCGACAGCATTATTAAATCGAAAATACCCATGTCTTTCCAGGTTTAGGATTTTGCTTTCTCTAATTTTTCTAGCCATCCTAAATAATTAGAAGGATTCTTAAAAGATGGGCTTTCCCGAAATACCTTAAAGTTATTCATATACATATGGTCAATAGCCTCTTCATTCGAAGGATTGCTCTGGTTGGTGGAATTAGGATCCTCATTGCTAGCCCTAGGTTTTTTAGCATGACCTATGGGTTTGTACTTATGGTAAGTTGGGAAGAAATCCTTAACATCGTTAACATCATTGCTAGCCTTAGGTTTTTTAGCATGACCTATGGGTTTGTACTAGGATCAACGTTAACATCATATAAAGGGCCAAATAAAGCCAATGGCTTACCAGTAACAGTAAGAGGAGTAAGTACCTGGGAATCATAAAATTCTTCTTTTCTCTTCAGCAAGTGGTTCAAGTAGGTATTGTTGATTTCCCACCATAGTTGGATCATTGATTGCGTCAAACGGAGGAAGTTGAGAAATCTTCTTAGGAACCTTCACCGATTTAGCAGATTCCTTGGTGGCTTTGGTGACATCTTTGGTGGAACGGTTTGAGGAAGTCATTGTTGAAATAGAGTTAAATTGGGTTCTTTGGAGGAGAAGAAGATTGTGAAGTTAGGGGTTTAGAAAGTGTAAAAAGAGGAAAGAAATGAGAAAAAGGGTATTTATAAGGATGGAAGCGGAAACAGTTCTGAAGCAGCATTTAATGGTTAAAATTGGAGTGGGACACATGTTCTATCCACTATCCTTGATGAAACGGTGGCAGTTAATGCCTAGCCCAATGATCTCCTAAGGTCTAAGATACGTGATGATGACAAAGATTCTCACGTGGGGCTGAGGGACGTTTCAGAAAAAGTAATCATGATCATGACGTCATAGGCGTGCTATAGAAGGTAAACCGTTTATAGCAGTGACTCATCAGAGATGTCGAATCACACATGGATCAATTAAGGCATCGAATAAAACTATCATAAAATGTCATTTTCTTTATTGTTATCGAAAATGACATTTTTTGGGGGCAATTTGTTAGCTCCCAAATTTGACTCCTAGTTTTAATTAATGGAAACAATAAAGAGAGTTACATGAAGGGGTGAGAGGTTTCGAAAAAATTATGAAATTTGTTTGTTTTGGTCGAAACTACCTTTTGTGTAAGGAGGATATGTTGATTAAGATTTGAAGAAAAAATATTTTAAAGTCTTAGAAGTTGGTTCGACAGAAGATGGTTATGTTGTTTCGACGTGTGATTTGAATTCAAATAAAGAAGAGAACTTTTGTTCTTATCCAAATTTGTGAAGGAGACATGTGGAGTTTTTTTAAGGAAATGAGACATGTCGAGCGACACTTGTCATTTGTTTGTAGAAAGATCGTTAGGCTCGGTTATTTTTTATCATTATAAATAGAATGTCCTAGCGTTAGGATCGAGGTGTGTTCAAAGTTGTACAAATTTTCTAAAATTACTCAAAGTATCCGTGTGCAGAGAAAATAGTGGGTCGAGAAAATGTATGTTTGACGAACACCATATTTTTTACACTTCAATGCAAATTTCATCCTTTTACCAAAAAGTTTATCTTTTTATTATTCAAGTTACTTTTCAATGCATTTAATTGCTTTTGATTAAGTTTCTGAAATTTACTTCCTTTAAGTTTCGAAGTTGATAATTGTTAGATTATGAGTATTGTCAAAATATTCACCATTTTTCAAACTTTAACTTAAGATTTACTAGCACGTGTCTTAGGATTTGTATGGTCGATCTTGTACGTAACTCAATTCTTTTCTGATTTGGAAAGACCGGCAGTTGTTTACTAATTTTCACAATAAACACACCCCACCAAAATTTGGCAATCATAGCTATGATATCCTTATAACATCCTTCATGAAGTTTAAAACAACTCATAATGTAACTTGGAATCGCCTGCACACTGCCTCGATAAGAACATCTTTGCCTGCCTTTTATAGAAAACTCTCCTTCCACCTTTTCAAATTCTTCCTCACTCAATCAGTAACAAAGGAAAAAATCTCCTTCTTGGATCTTACAAAAACAACTAGGAGCCCCAAGTATTTTGAGTGAGACATCACCATCTTTATACCCATCATATTACGGATCATTTCTTTAACATCCTCGAGCACATTTCGACTAAAAGACACCTCTGATTTATCCAAATTGACCACTTGGCCTAAAGATTTTGGGTATCTCTTGAGAGTTTCCATGATGCAATCTACTTCCTTGGAGTTTGCCCGGTCAAAAAGTAGAGTATCATCTGCGAAGAACAAGTGGGAGATTCTTGGCACTTTTCGAGTCACTTGTATGCCATGTATGTGTTGGTCCTTGCTTCCTTGTTAAGCATTCCTAAAAGCACATCAGCACACACACACACACACACAAAATAAGGAGAGTGGGTCCTTTTGACTGAGTCCCCTTTCGGAAAGAAATTTTATGCTGAGCTGACCATTGATGAACACTTAATTGAAAACGGTAGAAATACATCTGCGAATCACCTTCACCATGGACACCGGAAAACACATTGCTTCTAACACCCCATCCACAAAGTCCCACTCTAATTTGTCACAAGCCTTTGACATGTCGAGCTTTAGGGCCATGACTCATTACTTTCATTTTTTTCTTCTTTTTCATCCAATGGAAACATTTCATAGCAATTAGGGCATTATCCGTTATTAAGCGACCTTTCACAAAAGCACTTTGTTCTTCATCAATGATTTCTAGCAGAATATGTTTAACTCTATTTGCTACCATCTTGGTGACCAATTTCATTACCGCATTACAAAGGTTGATTGGCGTGAAATCTTTTGGTGACTTCAGATTCTTACACTTTGGGATCAAGGCTATGAAGGTTTAATTAAGATCTGATGGGTCCTAGTTGTTGTTCAGGATGTCCAACGCCATCTTCTTAACAGCATTGCCCATAATGTGCCAAATTTTTTGAAAGAATAGGGCTAGGGCTGGGAGTCCATTCGGACCTGGGGCTTTCAGCGGGTGCATCTAGAAAATGGCCTCTTCAACTTCCTGCTCTATAAACCTACTTTCATGACATCTTTTTTTTTATCAATGCTCAACTTCCCTTTAACAACCTCACAAGTGTTCTTAATGTTTGTAAAACCTAAGGAAGAAAACAGCTTAGAAAAATAATTAATTAGAAGTCTTTCATAATGGTTCTCATCACTCCACCAAGTGCCATTTTCATCTTTCAGTTTTTTGATAGAGTTTGTCTTCCTTCGCTGCTCTACTTTACTGTGATTTTTTTTTGTCCCCCTCCATAAGCCAAATCGATCTACTCCTTTGTCTCCAAATCACTTCCTTAATTTTTAGTAATTTATCCCTCTGGCATTCGAAAACTTTGTAGGCCTTGATATCTTCATGTCTGGCTAACCACCTCTCCTCCTTCCCCAATTTATGTCCATAGTTTTCCAGCAAGAGTTCTTTAGAAAACTTCATCACTGCAGGTTTAATTTGTCACCGCCGTAACACCTTCCTTTTCTTTCCTGAACAACATATTCTTCCATTTCTCCATGATCTTGATTCACAACTTAAATGAACCAGAATCAACTCTTAAATTTTAGTAATCTGAACAATAAGTGCAGGAGGTGAAGAGAAACCCTAAAAAAAAGGGGGTGAAAACCGACAGAAAATGTTGAGTAGAGATCAGAAAGGACTTGAAACGGCGCTTCTCAAACCCTAGGGTAGAAGCAAAGACACAATGAGTTTTAGAGAGGGAAAGTCTAACTTCTCTTTAAAACATGTGGTTTGACACCCGTGCACACTGATGTGACACATGTTTGACAATTTAGACTTGTAACTTATTGCATACTTCAGCCAAAACTGAATTTAAACAAAAAACGAAGTCTGGTTTCACTAATTTAAGAGCAAATTTCTAACTTGTTTGTTATATTATTACTCCAAAAATTTCATTCACTTAATTTAAGAGAAGTGAAATGTAAGGACCCTCTGCAAAAAATACCATCAGAGTTTAAAAAAAGTGTATAATTTTTATATGAAGTCAACAAAATTAAATGAACTATACGTTAGTTAATAATTTTGCTTATTAAGTCGTCCAATGGAAATAATAATAGATGCAAGGCCATAATCTGCATTTTTGGAAAACCATCAAAAGCAACTCTAAAAGTTTATGATTTGTTTCAAGTAGGCGGAGAATAACACCCAGCCACACTAAATCTAACTTTGATTTTTATGTACATTTTAATAAGTCGGCAGAAAACTATCAGATTGCTAGGTTATCCTAACGCCTATCTTATCTACTGTTCATACTGGGGATGGGTTAAGAAAATATACTAGACTCATCAGATCACTGAAGCAAAAACGGAATGAACAACAAATTGATAGAACACTATTGCTATAAATTTTCAGAGGAATTAAATCCATAATTGGAACTTTACATTAAAGGATTTGAATCCCCCTTAATGCTGAGGTAGATGGGGTCTCTTTTCCAGCATATCATAATGAAGAACAACATTATCCTGCAAGAATTGTACATTTAGAGGACAACAATAGGGTGATGCTAGTTGGGGGGAACAAACACAACAATATGACTTTGAAACAAGATAAAGTAGTAAAGAGCATCATGGATATGACTTAATAATAAAAACTAACCTTGCGGACCGTTTCAAATGAACTTGGATCGAAACAGTGATAAGTTCCTCTCTCGTATGTATTTGTTTTCACCAGCGGCTCCATGTTGGGTGCTCTTGTAAACCACAGTCGATACTCTTTGTGGTAAAACCAGCCTCTTTTGTTACTGAGCAATAACCCTTACCTTGTTAGAAATAATTGAACTAAAAAATTATTCAGATAATCAAGATTTTGGGACTAGTGTCAAAATAACTGAATAAGTGGTTAATAAGGACTTTAATGAGTTGATTATGTATGAACTAGGAGTATGTTGGGTTCCCATTTGGAAAACTGAAAAAAAATTTTGATACAAAATAAAAAAGTTCCTTTTGGTTAAAAACAGAGGTACATTCATATCTGCAAATCAAACTACCTTTAATTAGCCACTTATCGAGTTGACTGTTCCCAAATTTTAATAATCCCAAATCATCTAAAAATCAAAAGAAACAACCAAAATGGGATGGATTGAAGAAAATGACATACAGCTCAATTGCAGCACATAATTGTGCTTTGTCTTTGGGCATACTGCAGAAAAAAAATTATATTAAATAATAATACCAAACAAACCAATACAAAAAGCAAGATTCAGATTTTAAAAGCACCTGTAAAATATGTAAAACAATGTTTCCACTGAAAACTTTGAAAAATAACCTAGCTGCAACATGCATCAGATAATTAGCCCAAAGAAAAGGTTTAACGATAGGGAAATAAAATTATAAAACAATGTAAAAACTCACGTGTAGAGCAGGTGGCTGTTCAGCATAATAACACTGTGGCACATTAAACTCTGGATCGCCCTTAGCTGATTCTTCTGCCCATGGAGACTTAAAAGTCTTGTGAAGATTTTCTGATGAATTAAGATTTAAGCCAAGTGTAGTAAGATCAATTCCAAGGGCAAGAGATGCCAAGTTAAGATCGTTCATCCTGATTACACTTAACAGGCCAAGCAAACCATATGGATCTGGTGATTGTGCAGCTTGCATAGACATCATACCCTGATCCCTAAAAGACTGATTTAGAGATGGCATTTGAAGACGAAACTGGGATTGATTCTTTTGCTGTTGATATTGCTGAATGAGTTGGTCGTATGATGAACCCATACCAGAAACTGTATTTGAAGAATTTAAAGGCCTTAATCCAATGCCAGGAGGTCCATTTGTCTAAAAAAAACCAGAGTGAATGTCAGAAAATACTTGCTCCAGAGGGAATTACATTATTTTAGTTTAAGCAGGCACTTATTGAAAAAAATCTGAAATGGAGAATGGGGATTCGTAATTAAAAAAATAAGCTCCCCCATCCGGAGTAGAAAAGTTGTGAACCTGTGACTGATAGGCAGAACGAGAAGACGGAAAAATATCTGATCCATGTTGATGGAGAAGATCCTGGTTATTTACCGATGAGAACGAGACACTGCCACTGCTGACTGAAGGATTATGCTGTTGCGGTTGGGGACGATGGGATGAATATGTTCCCCCCAAGCTGAAACCAGCAGACCTCCCCATCTGCTGACCGAAAGCATGAAAAGTTGAGAAATTAGAGCTTCTGACCTATTAATATTATACATATGTGGATCTCTATATAGCATGACTTTTCGATCTTTTAATAACATGTTACTCACAGAGAAATGCTGAGATTGCATCATTGGCATAGCATTGTCATGAAGTTGTTCTTTCTGGTGCATATCCATATCATAATCTGCACTACCACCTGTACACATAATATGGTCAGAAACATCACTGGAAGTAAATAGAGCAACTTTCATTCACGTGACGAAGTTGTCATTTCCATCATAACAATCAAAGATTCATCAGCGCAAACCTAAGTAATTAGTTGCTTGGCAACATTTAGTGACATTAAGGCATCTTCATTAAATTTATAACATACAGTACAGATGCTTGACACACAACCAGGAGCATATGCCTATAATAACCTATCAAGAGCAACATGAGAATAAAACAAAGAGTAATAAAGCCAAGTATTGAAGGTCCAAAGGACCTTCCAAAAGAAAGCATAAAGTTCATTCTACAATTGAGTTCTCAAAAAATAAACTTTTAAACTTCAAAACAAAAGATGATTATACGATATAATTGCATAATAGATCCACCAATATTGCAACAACAAAAAAATGAATGATAAAGTCACATCTCGTAGCCAAAAAACAGTACACCTTTGAATCCTGGTAATGCAGGGAAATCTTCATTTTGAATGCTAAATTCATGGTTTTGTTGACCAATAGGACTGACACCAAGACCCTGATTCCGTAAAGAACCTGCAATTTTGTGTTTGTATCATTATTGTAGAAGTAATCAAAAACATCAAATATAAAATATAATTGCATTTGCATACCCAATTGTCCTTGAGATCCTCCAGCAGAACCAGGACGACTAGTCAGTTGAGGGAAATCATTGAGATCAAAAGGTGAACTATCATTGGAATTTACATCATTCATCATCCTCATAGTGTTCAAGTTACTTACTGCGTGAACATGGCTTTGGGAAAGCGGGCCTCCAGCACTAGGATAAGAATTCCCTGACATTGAGAGCACCTGCGGAGATCCTGAATAAAGAAAGATGTTGTTACCACAAAGTAGCATAGTATAATAATCATGTAAAATCAACTCAACATGTGATAGGAACCCAGGAACAGTAGAATTTTCGGAGAGATGGAAAAAAAAAAAAAAAAAAAGAGGGAAAAGGACAATTAATGCTTTGGTAGTGTTTATTGATTACAAGGAAAGCACCCAAAGAGTCTTCCTTCCAAGGATTTTCCTTTACTAAAGAAAAGCTAAGGCTTGAGTTTCAAAAGAATAAAAAAACACAACAAATGATCATCTACTCTACTCCCACTATATATAATCTAACCACCCAACTAGTTATGCAATTAACTACTCTTAACCAACTTCAATATTTCCTTATATTCTTCTATAATGAGACAGATCATCCACGTGTCTCAAATCCTAGGTTAGCAATAGCATCCTACAGCTGAGGAGAGTGGTTTAAAGTGAATGCTGAAAACTGCAGCCTTTTGCTCACAGATAGGGCTTGGCAGTGGAGTGCCCTGACCCCAGTTTTCTCCACAGCAACTTTTGATCAGCCTGTGGTGGCTTACTGGTTTCTGAGAAGCTCATTCTCTTTTCATTCGTATACAATAATGGTCTATTAGCTCGATAGTATACAATAGCTGAAATGTATGCGGCATACAGAGCTTTCCATTTTCATTTTTACTACCCAACATGTCCTTGCTGGAGTTATTATGGCACACTGATGGGTTCTTATATATGAATATATGGATTTACAGTGAATATATGAATAGATAAAGGAATTCTGTAATTGTATTATCCACAATTACTGTGGATGAACAATTACAGAGAAATAGCTTCAGAATAAAAATAACAAACTGATAGTGGAAAGCTATCAGTCCCCTAAGCACGCAGAGCTTCACTCACCAAGATGGTGATCCTTAATTCAAACAGAATACCTAGATACCTTATTTCCTCCCTTCCTTTTCTATTTATAGTCACAAACTTACGTAATTATTCTCTCTCTTCCTTCCCTATTTTATAGTAACAAGTTACGGCCCACTCTACCAACCACATTTCTATCACACTATTTCTGCTTTGAGGTTGGGCTAGCAAATTGTTTTGGACCTATGTGTTCAATAATTAAAATGGTCTCATATCACCCATAGGATGAGCATATATAGTTTTACAACAACAACAATCAAGCTTTTCCCACTAAGTGGGATCAGCTATATGGGTCAAACTACGTCATAATGTTCTATCAAAAACAATGTCTCTATCCAACATATATAGTTTATATAAGTTTTATTTTAATAGAAAAAAGACATGTATGGTAATAAGATAAAACACGTTTTTTTTACAGCATGGTAATTGACAAAGAGTCAGAAAAACTTTTAATCCACGTATAATATTGCAATGTAAATATCACGTTTAAACTCAAAAGCTACAAATTCTAGCTTCAAGTAGAATCAATTCATTCTGAAGGCAGAATCAATTCTACTTTAGAAGTACCAAACACTTCAAAATCATTCCAAAATCAATTCTACAATTCTACACTTTTAGAATTGCTTTTTGACTCTCCTAAAAATAAAAGCTAAACCATACACTAAATATGAAGACAACATCGACATGGTCAGAATAATCACAATAAAATTACCTTCACACCAATTTCAGTGTTTCTGTGACGATAAAAATGCATACCTTGTGGAAGCACGCTACTCATCAATCGATTCTGTCCTTGCATGCCTAAACCACCAGATCCACTGTTTGCATTCAAGTTTAGACGAGAAGCAAGACCGGGAACAGACAATCCTCCAGTCCTTCCAATATTCCCCCCGCCAACCATGTTTCCCAAAGAACTGGTGATTCGAGGATCTACACTTCCTGAAATTGGGGATACTCCTAATCCTGGAACAGCACTTCGATTACCAATAGATGCAGAAAACCCAGGAATGGAACCACCAAATTCATTTGTGCTACTACTAAATCCAGGGTTTCCTACAACACTTGTACCTCCTCTATTGGTGACTCCTGAATGTCCATAGGAACTTCCATGAGATAGCTGCAGAGTCAATTGATACAGGTAAAAGTGAAACCTAGTAAATAACATAACAGTAAAAATAAAATGACAGAAACAAGAGGTGAAAGTATTACCAAATTTCAGTTATAAGTTATTACTCTCGATCTGTTTTAGAAAACACACATGACACCAAAACAAACCTGCGATAATGCAATAGGGAGATTGTTGGATGCAAATCTTCCACTAGAAAGGCTTCCTGCTTGTTGTTGAACACCCCCAGACGGAACATTATTTAGTGTGGAGTTTCTTGGTGGGAGAGTACCAGACATGTTGGGAACATTAAAGCTCCCATGAATATTATGCATCCCTTGAATAGCACCTGCAACAGGAACTTAGCAATTATAATAACTAAATAGGAGAAAAAAAATAAAGTAAGCCAGCAAATGCTCCCCACCAGTATGATGAAAATTTGGGGAGGCTGCACCAGACTGACTAGAGAAGGATGTGGCATAAGACCGTCCAGCACCATCTTGAAGATTTGAAGCAGATCCGTTCACAGGAGACTGAAAAGAAAATTCAGTTACAATTCATATTCATAATAAACATGTTAAAAGGAAAAAACCTAGAAGTGTGAATCATCATTTTAGGAAATATGAAAACAATAATACAAAATGAAGCTATTAAACAAATATTATCAGTCTATTTGTGCATCCATCAATCACGGGGCATGAAATCTGCAACAAAGACTGCAAATTTAAATATCAACAGAGTTTCCTGACAATCTATAATTTACTAACCATGCATAGATGGAACAGCAGTATTAAACAAGCATGCAAAAAGAAGCTGTCAAGAAAAAGTTGATGATAACGATAAAAAAAAAGGTTCAAATATCTAGTTTAGTAGTGAAACCCCCCAGACCCCATGATCATTCTACTATTCTTCTCCATCCACAAAATGTAGTATTTAAATATATACTACATAATACATTCCTTTTTAACATTTCGTAGCATACTTCAAATCTCCATAATATACACTCAACATGAAATGTAAGAACATAGTCTCCAGAATCTCATTCATCAAACTCTTGGCAGGACAATCTTAACCCCCTAGTATGCCGTCAAACATGAAACACAAGAATCATATAACAAATGGCACGTTGAGGCATGGTGACAGATTTTAACCAAGTGATTCTTTAAAAATAAACAAAGCCACAATCTAGGTATGCAATAAATCATTTACCAAACACAGCAATGATTGGAAATGCTGATGAGTTAACATGAATGAACTAAAAAAATACAAATCCAGAATTCACAAGTCAAATTATGGATGGGGGTCGTATGAATGCCAATATGAACCATCTAAGAGATGGAAAAGTCAAAAGTTTTCAATAAAAATGAATCAATATAGCAACCTGGTAGCCATGACAATGCAAGAGAGTGAAGGGAAAGATGCAAATATAATTTCATGAAGACAAATTAAAAACAAGGATGAGGAGGGAAAGTTTTTCAAGTCATGAGGAAATACATTAAGAAACCCCGACATTGAATAAATTTCAAATGGCCAAGCCAAAAATCACCCGTTGCAGAAAACAGTCTTCCTTTATATTCAAGTCGTCAAAACAACCTGAAGAGTGTTTCCTTGCAAATAATCAACAACCTAAATTGGACAACATACCGTGAAAGACAGTGTATTAGAGACAACACAATACAATTGTAACCTGTAATCATCCATGAATACAACAAACTAAACCAAAATTTAGCAAGCAGCAAACATATGGAAATTTAAATTAAAGACAAATCGACGATCTGTCTGTCTATCTCAGTATAATATTGCTCCCGACTACAAGCTATACAGCCCGAGTGGCATCCAGGTTTTACCATTCAATCCTTTATAACTGAAACAAGATACTATGCAAGACAAAGTCATTTCATCTCCATATATAATTTATGCTTAAACATCACATACCTTTAAGACAAGCCATAAAATATACTAAAATACTTCAGTTACTTTTCGGCATGACTGTAAAATTAGTAACTTCACTTAGAATCAAACCAATAATATTGATGATGTGGTTGTAGCAATACTCTCGCCCACATTAACTGGCAAATGTAAAACGATTTACAACAAATGTAAATCATACAGCATAGTGATATCAAATCCAAACTGCCACAACAGCCACAATGCTGTAGATTTTGTTCAACGTAATCACAGTAAGTGCAACACACAGCTACAAATTTCTTTCACACAAAAACGCTACTCCAACCTCGGTTTGAAACCACAGAACAAACTACCAATGGATTTAACTCATTTTCATGGACTTAAAAAATAACATATCACAAAAATCTGCAATCTATATTAACCACCACAAACCCTAACTCAATGTTCAAGCATATCTCATATCTCATTTCTCATTTCTATCATAAACAGTATATACGAAAAATCACATAAAAACAAAATGGACGGTCCTACATTGGTAACAGAGGTTTCATTTTCACTCCCTGGAATCAAATTATCATCAACATCATATACTGATAAACTAAGCGTAAGAACACAAACAACAAAGAACATGTAAATCAGTGAGATTATGAAGTGCAAAGCATAGTAGATCGAAGCAGAGACGAGTCAGAGTCAACTCGGATGCGAAGAGAGTACCTGAGAAGAATACTGAGTGAGAAGAGCGAGTTCAGAAGCCCTAACCAAAAAGAGAAAGCGAGCGATTGAGAAGCTTTGTGGAATGAATTGGGTTTTTGTTATATAGTAAACTTCTGATTATAAAATTGTGTAGAGGGCCATCTCTATCTGTGAAACTGATTTGCCACCTCCTTGGTTGGCAACTACAAACTTTTATTTTATTTTTTGGTAAAGTGAGTATTTGTCACACCTTCGTCCTATTTTGCAAATTACAAATTTATTTGTTATCAAACTTCCATATATCTATTTATGTCTAATACTCAAATAAAATAAACTACATCTTTTCTAATTAGGTAGTATATCATAACTTGAAGCACTTATTTTCAAGAACTCATCCTTATATAAACATAGATTTTTAAAAATTTATATAAAATAATCATCTCGCTTAATTATCTTATCAAATTCATATAAAAACTTGTATGAGTGGATAGAAATTTATGTTTCATTTCAATTCGTAAAAATTAATCATAAAAAACTGACGTGGATGTAAATAGATTTGATTTTCATGTTCAATTTCTTTAATTTTAATTGGGTTTAAAATAAGAGTCAATTTTGAAAAAATCATCATCGGCATCAGACCCTCCCAATTCAAACTAGAAGTATAATTTTAATATTTAATTCTAATATGAGCGTAAATGGCAATTTATCGTGCTATTTAATCGTTAATACGTATAACCTAAATCGTGATGGTATATATTTATTCAATAAGCTTTCATTTATTATTTATTATTATAAATATATTATAAATCGCCATATGGTATATTATCATACATTTCTTCTTTAAAATAAATTATTATTGCTTAAATTTTTTAATAGAAAAATATCACTTAAAATCTTCTACATTAAAATAAGTGACCGATCTGAGACAAAAATTTGATAAAAATATAGAAAAATGATAGAGAATGAAGTCGTCTATATTAAATGGACAAGCACCGTCGAGGGTTGGTTATGATGTAACAATGTGGTTGTTGAAAACCAATAGGGTATTAGGGGTAGGTATATAGGATCCCCTAGAAATTATATTAGATTTTAATATGATAGTATACTATTTTTAATTGATTTTTGTAGTTGATTGTTGATTGTGTTGCCCTTGGGGGCTTGTATTTTTGTTTGTCTTGCTTTGTGAGTTTTTGTTTGGCTTGGTGGGCTTGGTCTTGCTTTGAGGAGCATGGAGGAGCATAGTAGAAGACTTGAAGTTGAAGAAGGAGCTTGAGAGCTTGAGGGCTTGTTTGTTTTGTTGTTGTTTTAGGGTTAGGAATTAGGAAGAGTTTAGACCTAGTTAAGTTCTTTCTTAAACATGGATGGTATCTTTCACCTCCATTCTTCCCCATGATTCAAGGTCCTTCCATGGTACTCACCTCCCTCCTTTGGAGAGATAAGTGATGGTACCTAGGAAGTAGAACCTTTGAGGGAACCATTCCTTTGATGTTAAGCCCTTATAGGTCACCTTTGGTGGTCAGTAAGCAATTTAACATCCTAGCTTATCCAGTTAAGTGATTTCATCTGGTTTGAGTATCTTGAGAGATGTTGGGCTTGAGTTTGAAGGCAAAGACTTCATTGAAGAGTATGGAAGAGGATGATTCCTTGAGCATTGCCATTTCAATTGAAGCTTGAAGAGCCAGAAGTTCAGGTTGATACTTGAAGATCCAGTAAAGATTGAATGAAGAGCTTAGGCTTGGGAAAGATTGAAGGATGAAGTTGACACTTCTAAGCAATTGAGACTACCCTAAGGAGCTGAAGCTTAAAGATCAAAGATTAAGTTGATACTTACTTTGAAGCCTGAAGATCTTGAAGGAATCAAGTTGATACTTGTGGTTAAGAGTGAAGCCTGAAGGTGGAACTGATTAAGGAGCTGAAGCTTGAAGAAGAAGATAAGTTGAAACTTATGTGGAAGGGTTGAAACCTGGAAAAGCAAATTGATATTTGTCAAGAGTGATGGAGGTCTGAAGACTGAGTTGTTGTTAGAAGAGCTGAAGCTTGGAGTTGAGAGAGGAGTTGATCTGCTTTCTTCTTTGTTTCTTTTCTGTATTGATGTGCCTTGTTTGACTTGCTTGATGCATTAGAATAAGTTCATATCTAGACTTTAATCTAGGTGCATGATTGCACTAGAGGTTGAGTTGCTCCCTCTGCTTGTATTGTTACTGTATGGCTTTGCTTGCGGGTATTCGGTAGAGCCCAGCTCCCTTGCCCATGTGGTTTGTTTGCCTGATGGCATTTTATTTCATTTCTTCTATATGATTGTCGTTTACTGTATTTTGCTTGATAGCATGTTCTATTTCCTCCTGTATGATTACCGTTATTCATATCTGGCTTGAGGTTGAGATGAGCTTGTGGAGGCTGATGCCTCACACACATTTCCTCCCTCACTTGCATTGCATGCATTTTACCGTATTATTGTTTACTGTTTAAGCTGATGCTTTGTCTGTTCTGTGTACCATTGACATGATCCCTTAGGACTCTCATTTCCTTTGATAAGGAAGTGATGATAGAACTTTAGGTTGAAACCTATGCATGATAACTTCTAGGAGTTCCCTGTTTCAAACTTCAACCATAGGATGAATCCTTGGCATGACAACAGTAGGACTTGATAGTCTCCCTCCTAGTTGAGCCTGTTCTCTTCTCATCTCAAAACAGCTTAAGATACAGTAATCATGAATGATTTCTTTCGTACGTTACGAGCCTTAAGCTATCTGAGAAAGGATTGTGGGAGAGTTTCTTTTCCATAGTCTGGATGTTTAGTATGGTACCCTTTGGGTGACATGCGACGCATTCACTCTCAGGTCATAGTCTTTAGTGCGATTGAAATTGCAAACACAATAAAAGACACTTCTTCCGTAAAAGACAGAAAATAATCCGTAGTGTCCCGAACTACGTAAGCTCTGATCTCTCATACCTGTTGAGAGTACGTAGGCACAATACTGATGTATTGGCGAGCCACCTTCCCCGTATCCCGTCGTAGGTCGAACTACGTTGACTCTGATTTCTCGTTCTCTGATGAGAATACGTAGGCATAAAGCGCGACGCTTTGCCGAGTCATTTTCTTTTCTGTTTAAGCCAGCCTTGATAGGTAGATAGATAAACCAACTCTTCCAGTAAACACAACAAGCGTGGATCCCGTCGAGTACGACAGACGTGAGGGGTGTTAATACCTTCCCCTTGTGTAACCGACTCCCGAACCCAGACAATGGTTGCGACGACCTTGTCTTACCCTTTTTCGTTAGGTTTTTTCCGATCGTTTCCTTTCCCGCTCCGAGGGATAAATAACGAAAGGTGGCGACTCTTCTGTTGTGCCGACACCTTATTTTCGCGAAAGCGACACCCTAACACGGCTCTTAGATTGATTTATAAGTCTTTATTTACTTGTTGTATTACTCTGCTACCAAACAAACCCCTAGACCTTTTGTTCCTTTGAATACTAAAAATCCCGTTAATTACTACGCAGTCCTCGAGATCGATACTTGGGACTTTTCCCTTATTACTACAATTGGTAAAAATAGTACATTTGCTATTTTCCCGATCACCTTACATCCGACGTTTTTTGGGATATTCATATCTCCAGCCTCCTCTTGGGCTTCATACAAGCATCATATCCATAGCCTCCTCTTAGGCTTCATACAAGGACCCTCGGGCTTTTTAAAAGCACCCTAGCCTCCTTTTGGGCTTCATGCAAGGACCCTTAGGCTTCTTAAAAGCATCACAAATAATAGGATTCTACCTTTACAACCTTCAATTTCTTCACTTTTTTTAATCAACCCTCACAAGCTTTTCCCTTTCATTGTCTCGGCTCTTTAAAAACCCAACAACTCGTAGTCCCCAAGCTACAAATTTCCTTTAAGCTTTTCCCGTATTTC